CTAGATGAGCATTATAAGTTTTATTTATTTTTTAATGTTTTGACGTGGCACAAGGAGATCACAAACATTTCCAATCAACATTCCTAAATGAAGTAACTAGAGGCATCATATTGTTCCAGACAGTGCTTATTAATTAAACACAAATAGGTCTAATTTATTGTATCCAAACGCCAGTAAGCCTAATTTATTGTATCCAAACACCAGTAGGCCTAATTTATTGTATCCAAAGACCAGTTGGCCTACTTTATGATTGTTGAAGCATAAATCATTTTTCGCTTTAAATTTTGTTCAAAATACTAATGAAAGAGTAAAAGAAAACATTAAATTTACCTTGTTTCTTTTTTGTTTTGTTTTTTCTTTCAATTCTATACAAACGCTGTATAGTAACTTATACTTTACTTGAACGTCTATGTAGAGGGCTATGACCTTCGTGTATGTTAACTACTTTTGTATTAAGCCTACTAAGAAACAAGGGATCTCAGTTTTTAAAACGTTAACATTCTGTTGCCAGACAACACTAAGTACCAGTTTCGACAAGAGTTTTTTTTTTTACCATTGTCTCTTGTTACAGACTTATAACCACAGCTGGCGCTACCTTTTCATTCAACTGCAGCTGTAGCCCGCCGCGTCCTTGAACAAACATCCTTCAAGTTAAGTAGCAGAATCGTTTCCCGCTTAACGTTTATCTCATGCATGAAGTCACCAATTAGTCTCTGTTTTCTTGCTCGACTTAACGAAAAGCCTATAAACTGCAGGATACTTTACCTTAGTAGTCAGAAAAATAGATTTATCAGTCAACAGGATAGTACTAAATCCTTTCCCCCCCTTTCTATTGATCGAAACGTATAACGTTTTTTTTTTTATTATCAACGGGAAAATAATATTGTTTTAAAATTAGAGACAGTTATGTTATCAATGGAAATAATACAATCCTCTAAGTCAGTGTTTTCCAAACTTTTTCAGCTCGCGGCACACTTTTAATGTTCGAAACTTTTTGTGGCACATGTAAATAGGTCCGTATGGCAGGCCTAGTGGCACCCCCTGACTAAGACAGGCAGAAATTACTGTTATACAGTGTACCAAGGAGAAAATAAATAAAATTTATTAAATTGGTAATAAATTTACATTACTAAATAAAAATTACTTAATAATTGCAAAAATTCCGCGGCACACCTGTGCCTTATTATCACTCGTTATGGCATAATGTAAAACACTATGAAAACAACCTTTATTTGTTTCAAAAACGTAATCAAAATTAGTGTATCTACGGAAGGTAGCATCGTTACTGAAGTTTGAAAGCTTTCTGAGAATATGCAGACCTTAAAAATCTAAAGTCTTCTCCAGACTGAGAAAACGTAACATTATATACACGGTTATATATTGCTATTCTTCTCGGGGTGTGTGTGCGCTACTTACGTTACCATTGTTAACTCTCATCGAAAAATAAGGGAGGTTGTATCCTCAATATATCACCTGACATACCAGAGGAAAAGATCGCTTGCTACTTGTTTTTTTAATGGGAAAATCAGCCGATGTAAAAGGGCGGTGGAACAGAAGGTATCAGAAGTAAGGTTTAACATTGTTCGGCTTTTTTGTAGATAATGTGATCTGTGATATCACTGAAAATTAATCGCACTTTCGAAGGGTATATAGCGGCCTTTTCATACTCTCAGGTCATAGATGTTTTCCGATCGAGGATTTAGAATCCCCAAGACGGGGATATTCCATGTACTTAATGACATTGGGAAAAGAAAGAAATATGGATCATCTTGGGGCACCAGGAACATCCAGAAAGAGACCCACAAGAAGACGTACCCCAGCCATGGTAAATAAAGTATGGCGTCTTGTTAAACGTGAAAATTTATGAATACAAAGGTCATAACATAATCTATAAGGATATTCATCTGGGATACTATGAAACCATCATCCTCATACATTAGCTATATCATTGAAAGATGGAGGAGAAGTGGTATATTATGAACATTACAGCCTTACAACGGGTCCCCCAATGGTAAGTTTACGGACTTATAGCGTTCAAATCCGGGGTTCGATTCTCTTCTGGGGACACAACAGATAGTCCAGTGTGACTTTGCTTTAAAACAAACAAAACTTTACAATGGAGTCTTTTGCAATTAAACTGCGATGCAGGGCTATTATCAAGATGCATGTTCGTCAGATAAAGCATGACGGGACGGTTTAATGTATGTGTGTTTGTGTGATTTTGGTTTACATTAAAGATGCAGTTAATGTTACTTGTCACCACTATATAATGTTTGTGGCTCAGAAAACTAACTCATCTTCAAAATAAATCCTATAGAATATTTCTAATTGCAATATATATAATACTAGCAGTGTACCCGGCGTTGCTGAGATGAAAATGGCTTTAAGTTATTTAGTTCTTTATTTACATGGTAATCTATTGATCTGCTGTAAAGCTTCTTTGTACACAATATTTTTTTCTTGCTATCAGGAGCAAAGAAGAAGATATTATGAGCAGAGAAGCAAATTAAGGCTTCACGAAGTTTTTAAAATCTTTTAAACGCATAATTGATCATAGATTGAATGATAAGGAGAAGTCCTCACACAGAGAAAAAACGTAAATAATAACCCTCTTGATCACACGTTACCAAAAAAATCCGGCTTTTTAAATTGGTCGTCCTGTTTGCAAAAAAATTGCTATATTGTTCACTGTGGCCTATATTTGCGGCCTCAAAATGGCCTCTCAGACCGAGGCCACATAGCCCATGTTACTTCCCGCACATATTTGTTTCGATACTCCGAGTTTGGAGCTTTAAAGATGTGGCTTTTAATACACATTTGGCACTGAGTTAAGAGGTCAGAGACTAACAACTTGCTTCGTAAAACTACTTGGGATAGCATACTCAGCACGTGACGGAATTAACTCGCAGTAGATCTGGTAACAGGAAAAGGAATTAGAACATACATTTTACACTATATAAAAAATGAATGTGTCCTCAAGGACCCCTCCCAAACTCTTTACAAACCCTCCGTTGTGCGTCTGTTCCCCAGGGGAGTAATTAGCACTTGGTTTACAGATTTACTCCTAAAAGTTGAATCACACATGCAGTCCACACACACACACATTTTAATAATATTTTTTCCAAAGGTAGGGAATTTTGTTTTGGAAACTTGAAATGTCATGCAAAACACTTGCAAGAAGCAGAAGCAATGTACCCTGTTTTGCTTTGGTTAAAATAGCTTTAGTAAATTATTATTATTATTCGCACATTGCTATGTTTATTGATTTTAATCCAAATATTTAGTTAGATGAAGAAATCATTTTGATTTTTTTTTTGCAAAAAAATCACGATTAATATGTTTGATTTAATTAAAACAACTCTAGATATTTAAAGCCATTTTCATCCAAGCTACGCCAAGTACTCGGCTAGTAATATATTAAAGCTCGGAACACCTTTGAAAAACATCGTCATAACAATATTATAATGTTTGGGAATATTATAGCAAGTATAAGGGAAAAAAAGTATCGCAAAATAAAAAAGCTATGTAGGGCTAATTATTGAACTTAAAAAAAAAAAGGAACCAAACAAGATAGGGATGGAAGTGGACATATCACTTGATCGGCTAATGATCACATAGAAGACTAAACTGTCTCAACTTTACATGGATAATAAAATCCTTACATTACTGGCCTCTCCACTTTGTCTATCGAAAGCTTGATGTTTGAATAGAATCTCAGCTTTAATCATTATACCTTTCCTTTAGTTAACTTTAGAATACTAGTTCTATGACTATTTTACAACAGACTTGCATTTTACGATTGGTTCTATTTGTTTAGGCAGTGAGAAATGAACTGATCATTTATAGATTAAAAACAAATGCTTAAAATATCCAAAACGTCATCACGAACGCCCAGAAATCTTTAAATGTTTTAAAGGAAAATTTAGGAAACAAAATCGAAGTGAATCTGTAAAACGTACCAATGTCCTACGACCTCATATTTTTGCATTTCTTAAATCAAACAACATTATTCCTGCCATTTTACTCTAACTCCCGAATAAGAAAGTTAACTCCAAACCCTCCACAAAACCGGTCAAACAAGAAGTACTTTCCACTAAGCGTTTAAGACAAATTCCTTGCCTTAAGCAGTTAAATGTTACCTTTGTAACAAACAGAGAACAAGGTATAAAAAGTGTTATATCTAACATTTTCCCCAATTTAAGTGTTTTTTTGTTGGAATCATATTAAGTACTATATGAAGTGTTGGTTAAAAAAGATGATGGCAATCGCGATTATATGTTAGCATATTTAAGTCACATGATTCCAAACAGCATACTTTTATACACTTTTATGGCTTGTTGTAAGATAGCAGCAGTTTAACACTGAAATTACGTGTTTCTTAACCCTAAATGTTTTAATACTATATTAGATGTAATTTAAAAAATGATAACTGATGTTAGAAGGTGTAATAATAAAGTTATATTGGTGTTTCTTATACTAGATGAAATATGTCTTCAGAAAATAACTGATGTTTCCATTATAATTTTAAACATTAAACTCAACGTAGTCATTACAAATATTTTAAGCGATTTGTTTAGAAAACAAACAAAGAAAAAAAATCGTACGTTACTTGGGTTTTGATACAGTATTCCAAACAATTGTCTATTCAGAAACTGGGAACCGTAAATAATTTAAAGATATGGTGTTCCCGCTCCATAGTTCATGGGTGTTCACAGGGGAGGGGGCACTGTCCCCCCCCCTGGAAAATGAGAAACATATTCTTCTTTATTCCATGGCCAGGTGGTTAGGGCGCTCGACTCGCAATCTGTGGGTCGCGGGTTCGAATCCCTGTCACACCAAACATGCTCGCCCTTTCAGCCGTGGGAGCGTTATAAAGTTACGGTCAATCCCAGTATTCGTTGGTAAAAGAGTAACCCAAGAGTTGGCGGTGGGTGGTGATGACTAGCTGCCTTCCCTCTAGTTTTACACTGCTAAATTAGGGACGGCTAGCGCAGATAGCCCTCGTGTAGCTTTGCGCGAAAACCCAAACAAACAAACAGTCTTCTTTATTCGTTGCCCCCACACCCCTACTGGAGAAATTCCTGTGGACGCCCATATGTCTTCTTTTCATTTTAGTTCAAATGAAAAATCATGTTTTACGTGTTATCTTAGTAAGTCGTTCCGTTTCAGTTCCGGGTTTTAGTACCTCCCGTTTACATAAGGATTTAATATAAAATGGCGCCAGTAATAATGCGAAGCGGGAAGAAATGGCGGTTTTCTATCAAAAAATCAGAAAAATTGTACGTCCACCATTTTTATGTAGGCTCATTGAAAGAAAGAAAAAAACAAACAACACTTCTAGTCTACATTGTTAATGATGCCTTTATTCCAGGACAGTTTTTAGGTACAATGTGGAATAGCATAATTTTTCCGTGCGAAATAAACTAACAAGAAACACTTTTCTTATGAACATGGTTGAGTAATTAATTTAATACACTACCTACTATGGTTGACAGTGTATTCCATAGCAAGTGTTTGAGTCACTGATTACCCGATAATATATATTTTGTTTAGTTAATTGGATAAGATTAACTTGACGTCGGGTTAAAGCCCCTTCTCTCTCTCTCTCTCTCTTTATTTCGGTTGATCTGCTGCTGAGTTGAAGGACAGACAACAAAGCGCATCGTTTAGGATGGAGATGAACTAGACAGTGGAAACACGTTACACTTGATGGTTGATTAAAATACACACTCTCATTTTTCTACACATTTTACTCTGAAAGCAAATTATTCAATTTTTACTTTCCTTCAACGTCTGGACATTTTTTTTTGTTTTTCATTTTTATTTTTACAGTTGTGGTCAGTTTCTGCTACTTATTCCTAATTCTTCTCATTTTTCAACAGCGGTAAATCTGAGGGCTTATAACGCAAAAAATTGGGTTTCCATACTCGCGATGGGTACAGCACAGGTAGCCCATTGTGTAACTTTGTGCTAAACAACAAACTATATTGTGATATAAAACACGTAAACTACAATGTTTTTCTTCCCCACTTTCCCCTAAGTTTGTTCATTTCGAATTCTAAATCAAGACCAGAATTCGTCAGTTGAGCCGGACGATGAGAGACAAAAAGAATCTTTGAAACGCCATTTATCGATACAGTGTAATACTCTAGAAGTTACGGTTTAAACCCTGAAAAGGGGCGAATAATTAAAAATTCAGTAGGCCTAACATTTGTGATAAAAAAAATCTCTAACTGAAGAATAAAAATCATTGGTTAGTAACATGTGGGAGACAATCCATAGATCTAAAGATACTATTTTTACACTCCTGTGATTTTGAATCCGAAATGATCAAATTAATAAGAATGTGGGGGAAGAAAGAAGAGATTCCTGTAAAGTAACCACCAATACTGAGACAGTGTTACAAGTAATGTCTGGTGTTACTAAACTGTAATTCAATTAACCATACTGTTTGTTCCAGAGAAAGGCTGTATGTAAAATAATGCTATAGCTACACGAGTATCTTGTACGTTATTTGTAGTTACAGATGTAGAGACTGTGGTGCTCTTTCAGAAGCTAGGCTGAACGATCTGAAGAGGCACAGGGAAACTCTTAAGTTCACGCAGATCACCTTTCAATCAATAGAGAGTCAACAACTAACACGTGATATAAGTTTGGAAAATAAGGAGAAGAAGCAGTATGTAAACACTTCCTAGAAAATTAAACCTAATAAATACACGGATCGATACATAGAAAGTGTAAATCTAATATTGTACATTAAACACATTATCCCTTATACATTGGACCGATTTTGATGATTGAAACATAAATTAATATTATGGCTCGATTAATTTAGATGTTTTGGACTTATGGTGTATTTTGTGTCTTATTTCCAGTTTTTAACCACTTTGTTATTTTAGAGGTCTCACGGTGGGACAGCATAAGTCTCGGGACTTACAACACTAAAATCCAGGGTTCGATTCCCCGGGTTACACAGCAGAAATCCTAATGTGGCTTTGCTCCAAAACAAACAAAACAAATGGGGTTATTTTAGAGAATTTAGCTATAAGTCTAAAATTCTAATTTTGTGGCTTAACCTAAGTGATGCTCCCCAGTGGCACTATGTCTGCGGACAACGCTAGAAACTGGGTTTCGATACCCGTGGTGGGCAGAGCACAGATAGCCCATTGTGTAGCTATGTGCTTAACTTCAAACAAACAAATCAAATCTAAGTGGTAATAGGTGTGAATGAGAATAGTTTCACTTGCTGACAATCACATCAACTACGTCATTAATCTCAGAGTTTTCAGCACCAGAACGTTTCTTCTGGAACTAAGTTACACAACACATCACCCCAGTGAATCCAAATCCAAGAAAGGTGTGGCTTTCTGGTTAGCGTGTCGGGCTGTGGATCCGAGAGAACATAGTTTGCGTCTCGATAGCAAAAAAAAAAGAAATACAAAAAATCAAGCTTCACTTTGGGTGAATATCCCAATCACGACATGCTCATAAAACACCAGTCCAAAAATAAATACTTAAAATTAGCAATTCTCCAAATTTATCTTTTATTACATTTCCAACTTTGAATTTCTATGGTACAACTTTACAACTTACTTTTTGGTCAAAAAAGTAAAGCTATGATTATGTGTTTATCTTTCCACCATGTCATGTAAAGGAAAGAAAGAAGATAAACGGTTTGAGTAAGCTACATTAAAACGATTTTGGAGCCTTATCTCATCGTTTCAGTTCATGTCACCACATCTGGTCACGCTCTGTCTGTTGGCTGTGCACTTTGACAATAAGTCTGAAGCGTAGTTTCCATTGCAAAATGCTCTTCGTAAGCCTGTCACGTCAAAACTAACCACTGTTCTCTGCAGGCTTTCCATAATCCATATAATACGCAAAGACGATGGTTTTTCAGTGCCCGATTCAAAGTTCAATCACAAATAAATCCAAATATACTGTGTCTGGCGACTGTAACAGATGTCCGTATTGGCTAGTCGTTGGAGTTCGACTTTAAATCCAGTTACAATAGATTTATATTAAATCCAACCATAGAGTCGCGAGTGGTGTACACAAGTCACTAATTCTAAGAACTTTACAGTTAGAGTAAAGAATCGACTCGGATACCAACATAAAAAATACAACACTTTAATACAATATATCAAGAAATTCAGCTACATCAAAATTACCAAAAGTATCTTACTATCAAAACTATTAAATTCATCAAATTGAGTCGGTAACTGTTCTTCAATTAAACTTTCTGTAACACCCATTAAGTTACTTAACACTATCAGTAGGTTATCAATTAGTACATTGAAATAAATATGCCCAGACATAACTCAGTGTGAAACATTCAGTCTTAACCACGTTATTCATTACTAAGAGATATAGCAATTATTACTTACACCAAGGTTGAAGAGGTGTTCCGGACCTTTTCGAGAACTGAAGTCTTCATCATCTCTGGGCCGTATAGATCTAGCAGCATTTAAACAATACTGTTATCTTTCAGCAGCGTCGGAGAACTCTTATTTAGCGCCCAGGAGACTGACTTGTTAGCCCAAAACAGGGTTTTTTATACCAAATCTTTTGTCATCCTTACGACTTTCCAAATAGTGTACACATCTAACCCGCAAGTAGATCTGACTCTTAATTGGATGATTTTTGCAAACTCGTCGTAATTCTCTGAACCAAAAACAAAAATACTTCAATAATTGGTTATAGTCAAAGATGGTAAATCGACAGCCTGTTTGCATGTATCTCTCCTCGTTTTCTTGACATCTATCCTACATCAAAATCGTTATCTTGACATCGATCCTACATCAAAGTTCCGACTGATCCCTTTTTTGGAAGTTGTGTCCAAGATAATATAAACTTCTCTCGTAGCTTTCTCTCTGCTATGATGGCGTCAGCCTATAGATATGGATCTCGTGTCCAGTTTCTAATGAAGTTTACATAAACATTCTCACGGCTGTGATAGAGTCAGTTTATAAGTAATATAAACATCCCTTTTTCAATATGAACTAAAATGCGTCTTTGGTTTATACTTGACATACTTTTCCTTTCTTGGTCAATCTTCTTTATCTTACGCATTCACTAAGTGTGTACGATATTTCTTATTGCATATATATGCGCTACATATGGAGTTTTTTTTGTGAGATGCAAATTATTTCAATTCTTGAAGCATTTGGAATATGGTGAAATACCTCAAAATGCCACAAATGTTTCACGACTTGACTGATATATATTTATTCATATATATAACACCATGAATACCTTCTTCATTTACCATCTGCTTGAGGTACGTGACAGTTGAACAGATATGTCATGGAAGCGGTTTATGTATACCTGATTTGTGTCACTCTTTTAGAAGAAGATTCTTCTTGATTTGTGTTACATACTGTTGCCCGGGGCACGTGGGCGACTTCTGTATCCGTCGATTTTCTCTTGTTAAAAGATGCCGCACTTTGCTTACTGCCACTGAAGTACGATTTCTTGCAGATCTCCTTCCGGGTAATCCTGGTATCCCAAGTTGATCCACATTCCTTTGTTTTTAATACTGTTCAGTTCAAAAGATACCCTCGGTTTTAGACATTTATATCCATAATCTGAACTTATCTTTGTGATGTGGGTGTGTGAATATTTTGTGTCGGAAAATGCTGTTACAGACCCCGATTATTTACAGATTATTTCACAATCTACTAAACGCCAAACAATCTAAAAATACAGTTCTGATACATTTCTTTACATCATGACTTTATATAGGTTGTGGTTGTCACATGACGTGCTAACTTGGATATTCAAAACCGTAATTAATTCTCCCTGTATTCCTAGTAGCTAATGTTAAAATCTATGAGAGGAATAGTTATAATTCTCTCTATTAAATATTGTAAGCAACAATAAATTATTATTGAAAATAAAACATTTTAATTTTAAGATATTTTAAAATAATTTTAGATTTTTGTTACTTTTTCTTGTACCATTAATTGAAGCTTTGTGATAAAATTTGATTGGATTGTTGAAGTAAAATATTGTAACATAAGCTTCTAATGTTACACAACTTAAATTTGTCAGAAAGGTATTGTTAAAGCTTTTATTACTATTATCATATTAAATAACAATAAAACAATACTACAATGATGACATGTATCAGAAACAAATGAATATACATCTCAGTATTGTTACGACAGCAGAAGTCACGCGACGCTGGGAGCATGTGCGCTGGAGTTTCTAGAAGGATCGGGAAACCGAAATCACGAAATCCCAGTATTTGCTAGACGCACTCTTTTTTTTAGTATATAAGCCGGAGATAGACTGAAGAGAAATAATTGTTAATCGAGTCAAGCGAGCAGTAGGCACCGTAAGTAAAGTGTGTGAATCGCTGTGAATTATAGCGTGTGTTTATAAAAGTAGTTAAGTTTAAAGTGACTGTGGAAATTATATTTATTACAAAGTTTGTAACGAGAAAGAATAAACTAGTTTTAATCAAGAAGGGACTTGTATCGTTGAAGTCACTCTGAAAGAATTTTAACCGGAAATTATCAAACAAGCAGATACGTAACAGTATCATCATAACAAAACAAAAGGCGCTAGGAGATTCAGAATGTATTATCACAATTATAATTCTGTAGTGCATATTGGTGTATAGAATTCATTTTAATACTGGTAATAATTGGTCTTATAACACTAAATTTGTTATTTTCCTCAAGGTTTTGCTTTAATGGCTACAAATTCAACATGTTCTTGTAACAAGACATGCTTAGAAACATTGTATATCATATATATTATACCAATAAATGTCATCAAGAAACTTGTTATTATCATACCAAATGGTACAAGAAAGACAACAAAAAATTCAGTATACTGTCATATCAAAAGCCTCCCGTAAAAAATACCAAGAAACTTCGCATACACAGCCTGCCAATAAGTAAACGGAAAGATGTTTTATATTAAATAAACATGAAAAAAGTTTGGTTTGTTTTAAAGTTCGCGCAAAGCTAGTCGAAAGTTATCTGTGCTAACTGTCCTTAACTTAGCAGTGATAAACTTGAGGGAAGGCTGTTAGTTAACACCACCCACCGCCAACACTTGGGCTACTCTTTTACCAACGAATAGTTGGATTGGCCATTACATTATAATGTTCCTACGCCTAAAAGGGCGAGCATATTTGGTGAGGGGGATTCGAACACGTGACCAGCAGATTGTTATGAGAGTCAAGTGCCTTAATTACGAGGCCTGAGAAGAAAAAGACGAAGAAAAATGAAGGTACAAAATTACGATTAGTTTTAAATGGATTTGCCCTTTGCAATAATAAAAACGCAAACACGGTGACACACCATACTTACAAGGTCTGAAATTTGGGCCTGTGGGATTGCACCCCACTACTTGCGAAGAACATAAAGGACGGTCCCTAAAAGTTGGTTATTTGGGACGCTTTCGCCAAAACGATCAAGGATAGACCACACATGCTCGATTGAGTTCATATCCGACGATTGGCCTGGCACCTGGAGATTGGTAATACCCTGACCTTCAAGCCATCATTTTGTGACTTGGACGAAATGAACAGGAACCTCATTTAGCATGAGAACACCCCGTGTCTGGTAAGCTGGTCAATGGCGTAAATAGGAAGAAGGTTTTGTTCGAGACTTGTGATGTATCGAGCAGCAGTGACAGTCCCTTCGCATACCACCAGCTGTTCGAATGACATCCCCTACCAATATCAGAAGTACCGCCACAATTTGTCATGGCCCTCAGACGGTTCAATGAAAATTCCTGGGGTATAGTTGCCAAACCCAGGTGCGTCCATTACCTGACCAAGTCGGAAGAAACGGAGGAATTCGGCATAATTTTCATAACAAAAGACGCTAATTGAAGTTGTCCAGTTAAAACGAAATGTACGTTAAATTCAAACATAAAACAACTATTAAATATTGTTGAGTTCTTAGGTATTTCTCTTAATTAAACTTGATATATTTCTGTTTGTCTGACTGAAACCGTGCATGAGCTATTTCCGCTTACTAATCTTGTAATAGTTCGAATTATTGCCCTCCCTGGTTTATGTTTCGTGAATAAAACGACTCGTGAACAACAGACTTTTAATGTGAAAATATTTACTTCCAATGCCGTAGCTTTTACAGAACACCGAAATCTTAAGCCTGATTTTGAACTAAATTGGAGTATTGTTCTCGCTGGCTTTTGTTACGTGAAGAAAACGATTTGTAAACACCAAGCTTTTTAAGTGAAAACGTTTATTTCCACTGTTGTAGCTTTTACAAAACACCGAAATTGTAGGCCTAAATCGGAACGATACTTTAGTATTCTAAAACTGAAATTGTACTGTTACCGAAATGAAGAACTGATTTGTATAACATATATTAATATTAGGCCTATGAATATCACGAAAACATGTAAAGGACTGACTCGTACAACAGTTAATTTATAACAATTAAGACTTCTTCGAGACGTTTCTAAATGGTTCTGAAAGCTACGTGCAGCTTATCTACTACAAGTATTGGGGGGGGGGGATCATCGCTTTTTCTTTTTTTCTTAATTTTCAAATAAGTTATGCGGCTTTTCTCCATTCTCTGTTTGGGGGTTTTAGACCATTTTGTTGATCTTCTTATCTGGTGATAGGCTACTGCGGCTGCTGCTGCTACTACTATCACTACCGTTTTTGTCAGCACCAAACCTATTTTTGAGTGCCGCCACAGCATCTTTGATAGATGGACTGAACAGGCTGCAAGTCCAACATCTCGGAACCTTGTACATGCGGGTAATCAAGGGAATAATGGTGATTGATGATGACGTGTTGAAGAGTAGCAAAGTTCGTCCAGTCACGGTCAGGAGCTATCTACTGAAGATCTATTGGGCTGAAAAACAGATGAAATGAAGAAGAAATACTGTCATTAACTCAGGAGTTTCTGTCAATAATGTGGTCAGTCACAACTCAACCAGTGTTTGTCCAATTTGGAAACTGTAAATTGTAATCGTTGTACCTCAACATACGCTACATGTCATTTAAGTTTCACTAAAATTGGTTAAGTCTCAGATGTTCAGAGCCTTGCTACAGAGACGCCTCTGGTTGAGGGAGAGATCATGTGTTAATGATTTATTTTAGTAATTATTTAAAAATAAAACCTATATGATGTTCACACAAACAAATAATTTAAAAAAATTAAGCATTCTTTTCATTATTATATGCAACTCAAAGTTTGAGAAACGTTTATTATAGCTTCAAATTACGTGAATTCCGTCATTAATTGCACAAACACCCCCCAGGTGGCTCAGCAGTAAGCCTGAAAGTTACAAATCTGGTTTTAATACTTTGATACTTGTCATAGGTAGACCACAGTTAGTCCATTGTGTACCTTTGTGCTTACAAAAACACAACAAATAAAATAACACAAATAAGTATTTTATCACAGTACAGACACACCGTGTTGGATTGAATAGAATATGTAATATATCTACTATATTTATTAGTTTTTATTATTTCTAATTTTATTCTTAATATTTATCATTCTATCATAATGATTATTCTACACTGTTAGTTTAGTCAATGGTTTTAGGATTAACGTGAATTCAACTGGCCAAACCTTATGATATATTATTGGGATTACGGCCGAAAACATTGTAGACAGTGAGGTATCCAAATGATGGAACAATGCATTCTAATCATTATAACTAGAATAGTTTAAACATTATATTTAATTAGTTATGCTTATGACTATGGATACGTTTTTTGTAGGTAGCTTGCGTTGATCAGAGGTTAATATTACTTTAAAGACAGCTTTAACATTTACTCCCCCCCCCCAGTGGCACAGCGGTTGTCTGCAGACTTACAACGTTAAAATCCGGGTTTCGATACCCGTGGTGAGCAGAGCACAGATAGCCCATTATGTAACTTTGTACTTAATTAGAAAGAAAAACATTTACTGAAAAGAGTTGGACTTTAATCAATAAACCAAAATCCTTTTTAAACTAAAAAACGTCTTTGTAACAAGAGATAAAGAAAGCGATCAATACATAATGACATATACGTATGTGTGCTTGTTTTAGGTCTGTTCCTATCTCACTTGTCACTACTATGTGCCAAAGCTTATCTTATGTCCAAATGTTACACTACTTTACACCAGTATGTACCAAACAAATCTATCTCCTCTCCAAATCTTCTCCTACTCGTCACCATTATGTGTTAAAATATATCTCCTGTCCAAATACTCTCCTACTCGTCACCACTATGTGTTAAAATCGATCTATCCAAATCCTTTCCTACTCGTCATCGCCATGTATCAAATCCTCTCCTACTCGTCACCACTATGTATTAAGTCTTCTCCTACTCGTCACCATTATGTGTTAAAATCTATCTCCTGTCCAAATCTTCTCCTACTCGTCACCACTATGTGTTAAAATCGATCTCCTATTCAAATCCTCTCCTACTCGTCACCACTATGTATTAAGTCTTCTCCTACTCGTCACCATTATGTGTTAAGTCTTCTCCTACTCGTCACCACTATGTATTAAGTCTTCTCCTACTCGTCACCATTATGTGTTAAAATCTATCTCCTGTCCAAATCTTCTCCTACTCGTCACCACTATGTATTAAGTCCTTCTCCTACTCGTCACCATTATGTGTTAAAATATATCTCCTGTCCAAATCCTCTCCTACCATTATGTGTAAAGTCTTCTCCTACTCGTCACCACTATGTGTTAAAATCCCCCGTCCAAATTCTTCGTCATTTTAAAGATAACAAAAAGATAAAATGAACTAATTTATCTACCTAAAAGGAATAAAAGAAAAATTACATTCTTCATTATATTTCTTGTAAGCCTATATCCTTTAAGAACACTGAACTTTCAGTTTCCTTTACGATACCCGCATGCGCAGTACAGTTAAAAGGAAAAAATGGGATTTGGCAGCACACCGACAACGTCTGTGAAACAATCTCATGATAAAAGTCGGATATAAAAAAAACTCACTCGACGGAGAAAAAGTTTAACCCCAAATTACACCACTGTTGTCTTTTGTTGTTGATCTGCCCTCAAGTCCACGTTGTGAGATCAAGCCTAATGTAATGTTGTCCTGAATTAAAGCGCAGACTAGATACTAAACCCCAAAACTGACTACAACAATATAATTTCATTTCTTTCCTTTTTTTTGAAGCTGAACAAGAACCGGTGACAAGATGATTATCCTCTAACCATGGCTGTCACCTGTATCATGATGGATGACAGATACTTCTGGTACAGGGAAGGAAGGGATAGGTCGACACGTGACTTAAGGCATGTGTACTCTCAACCCCAAAGGTTCTGTCGTGTATTAACATTACAATTTTCTGTACTATAATTATAGTTGAAGCAGAGAAGAAGAAAAAGATACAGGCTTGAATGACTTTATTTTCGGTTGATAAAGACCGTAGAATTTTTATTTATAAAGAAGAGACTAAGGAATAATCGTGAATAACAAGTAGATGAAACTACAACGTGACAAAATCTGAAAAATACAAAAAAAAATGTTAAACTCGCAATAAGGAAAAAAATTATGGTCAACGTCTCGATCAAATAAAGCCTTTGACCAAAAAACAACTCTTCTTACGGAGTTTTCCAAAAACGCAGCTTTTTGTTTCTTTATTTCCAAAATTTAATGTTACTTCGCAACGTGTTATGAAACGTAACACTTCTCGATGTTTTCCAAAACGAGAAAATTCTTCGCAGAGTTAAATTAACATAGCTGCCTACTTATAACAGGGCACTGCTATGGGTTATACTTTGGTAGCCCTGATGTAACGTGTACAGTTGTAACCTGATGTAGCATATACAGTTGCTACCAAAGCGTAAAATGTAGTAATAACTGTATACGCTACCTTAGATTACACTTTGGTAGCAACTGTATACGCTACCTCAGGTTACACTTTGGTAGTAAATATAAGCTCTTTCCTGGGTCGTTTTAGTACTAGGCCCGTTTGTTTCCGGAACATGAATTTTATTTCTGGTATTTTCAAGTCACCTATTACGGTGTTAACATATCAGTGATTGTGTTTGGTATACACTTTTCAAACAATAGTTGCGTCACCTGGTGGTTTAGCAGCAAATATAAGGGCTTATAACATTAAAAATTGGATTTCTATACTGGAAGTAGGCACAGCACAGATAGTCGATTTTTAGCTTGGTGTCTAATAAACCAACACAAACAAACAACGATAGTTGCACCCTGAAGGCTCAGCGACAAGTCTGAGGGCTTATGACGCTAATAATGGAGTTTCAATACTCGCAGTGGGCACAGTACAGATAGCTTTTTTTTTGTAGCTTTGTACTTAAAAAGAACAACAATTAACCTGGCTTAGGCAGGTTATACACAAGATCAAATCACTCATGGTTTCTTTGTTGTTAAGCGTAAACCTACGTAACGGGCTATCTGTGCTCTGCCTACCACGCGTATCGAAACCCGAATTTTAACGTAAGCATAATCATTTATGGACTCGGGGTCAAGAGGATATAGTATATCACGATCCTGTATATAGTCACTGGTTGAAGACAAATTCCTGAATACCACCATTCACCATTAATCATGAAGATTAAGCGATATAGAATAGTGAATTGCGCACTGACAAACGTGCTGCGATGGGACTCCACAACTGAAGGAAGGAGAACCAGTGCTTTGGTCGGTGGTAAATGTAACCTAATAAATAAATAAATACTGAAGAGGTGAGTTGTTTCACGTAATAGCTTCTAAACATTTTGACTTACGATGAAAAAGATTGGATTGTGGATATATCCCGCGAATCTGTTTATAGACGAAAGGAAGTTACACAAACTAAGAATTGGGATTGTTTTGTTGTTTTTTTTTGCATAGGAGATTTGGAGTGTAATTTAATCATTAATTACACTCGAGTTTACGAAAATGAGATATTTTGGATTGGTAGTAAGTTAGGACTTGTTCTCACAGTGTATGGAGTGCCAGTTTTATTACTGGTAGAGGAAACATTTCATGCACTATTCAAATTAAACTGCCAAGATGTACAAAAAAAAAAAAACGGAACTCGATACCAAGTTCCAAAGAATAAGATGTACTTCGTTTGGAATTTTAAAAAAACCAGTAATGACTTCCACTAGAATTTCAGGTCTGCTTTAGACCTATCTTAAGGTAACAAAGCAAAAAGTTAATTATATGTGAGTATGTGGTATCAAGGATGCGATAACATAGAAGAACAACATCGAAGATTAACTTCGGACAGCTTTAGAGGTGTCTAATAAGAAAACAAATGGGAATCTGTGACGTCACTCTGCTTACAGTGAAATATTATTCAGTCGAACCTTTTATTTTTCGGAACCAAATGATTACCCTGAGGGGGGAAATCAGTGTACCTAAAAGTCCCACTCCGTATTGTGCATCCACCGATCTTACTCTGGTCATATCATACTGAAACCATAATAGTCCATCCATCCATTCATACATTTTTCTTCTGGTACCCTTTCTGTTCGTATCCTATTGAAATGATAATAGTGATTCCACCCATATATATCCTTTTGGTACTCTTTCCAATCTGAATCAGATCATACTGAAACCGATATGGTCTATCTCTTCATCTTAATAGAATACATTTATAATAATATTAAGTCCATTCGATTATCATGCCGTTTCCCGTTGGACCATACTAGAACGGATGTTTTGTTGATTCATTCAGACCATTCTGGTCTGACTATACTACATTAATTCACTGCTGTTAATCCATTTAGACCATTATGCCATATTTCCGGTCTGACAACACTAGATTAGTCCATTCCTGTTGATCCGTTCAAGCATTATGACATAATTTCCGGTTTGACCATACTAAATTAATTCATTGCTGTTGATCCATTCAGGCCATTATGACATCATTTCCGGTCTGAGTATACTAGATTAGTTCATTCCTGTTGATCCGTTCAGGCCATTATGGCATCATTTCCGGTCTATACTATACTAGATTCATTCATTGTTGTTGATACATTTACACAAAAATGTCCTGTTTCTTGGCGCGCTTACATTGGTTTTGAAGGTACGTGTAAACTTTATTATGTCATATGTCAATACCCTCAAATTTCTCTAAACACCGCGACTAAACAATACTCGGCTCACGTTAAAATCAGGAGAAGACTTCTTATATTTACAATAGAATATAAAACTATCATGTATATACTACGTGGTGAGACTTGGCGCCAGCAACAAATGGTAGTTATAAATTTGTACAGCAATATATATTGTTGAAATTTAGTAAAATGCTGCCAGGCTCAAACGAGTGATTACAACGCTGAGCCCTTATTCGAAAATACAATTAATCACATAAAAAGGCTATAAAATCTTCACAAATGCGGCACGATCAAAGTGGAACCTTCTAATCTCCTCAATCAGATACAAGTCGTACATATTAGTTTCACGTGATCTTTAAATACTTCCCGCAAGTGGAAAGAAGAGTACAACGTTTAGGAATAACGGCTTTCTTCAGTAGATATCTTCCTTCTTGAAGGAATGCGATCCATCTTAATAGGAATTTTTTTAATGGCATCATTACAGTTCTATGGACTATGCTGTACTTGTTTAAACGTGTTTATTGGTAGGCATATACATTAATGAGGGGTGAAAAGAACAAAGTCTTAAGATTATAATCAGTGTACTTAATTTCCAGAAAAAAAGAAAGAAAAAGGTACACGATCTCTTGTCGATGGGTGGTAAGGGGAAATTTTGAGATTTGGATGATAAATGCCATTATTTATTTGATTGTTTTAAGTTCACAGCTGCACATTAATGGGCTATCTGCGCTGTGCTAACATCAAAGAATCTAACCTCGAATTTTAGCGTTGTAAGCTCTTGATCTTATCAAGCCACAGTGGGAGTTAATCTTCATTGAATGGGGTTGCAGGGGAGTAATACAAATATCAATTTTCTGTATAAATAAAGAAGTCTTAACATCAATTAATTAAAACCTTTCTGCCTTTGAATATATATATATATATATAAAATACAAAACAGATTTCAAATCTTAGATCTGGAAAGATTAGCCAGAAATTAAGCACTAATGAGAGAAGGCAAGGTAGAGAGAAACACTCACTTTCAAGTCTTGGGCCGTTCGTTTCTGATCGGAAATAGGACTTTGGTCGTCACTCTTACATGGCACTCACGACCTGAAATATAGAACGAGTAAGAGGTTGCGAACCATGAATCTGTCGGTTCACAGTCCGGGTACGCTAACCACTAAGCTACGTTCGGCTCTCTTGGATAAAATCAAAACAAAACAGTCCCGCGTTTTCTCTATTGTTTGTAAAGTAGGTGTGGAATATCGACAATCTGCTGACATAGAACATTTAGGCCATTTTGTTATTATTTCCTGAACAACTGGGGGAATTAAATTTGAATAAACAAGCAATTTTTGTTTCTGTTGTAATAACATTGGGCTCTACAACTTTTGCATTGACACATTTTAGTCCGATTGATAGTTTGAGAGATAGCTTGTGGATGACCTTGATGTCATGACATCATGCTAGTTAACATATGGGCTATATGCCTACACTCTATGTCAGCAGATTTTCGGTATTTCTCAGCTACTTCAGAGCAATAGAGAAAAATCAGGACTTTTGCCTCATCTACTTTATAACAATAGATGTCCTGTTTTTTTTCTATTCACAACAATATAGGAAAAATCAGGACTTTTCCCTCATCTACTGTACAACAACAGATGTCCTGTTTTTTCTATTCACAACAATAGAGAAAAAATCGGGACTTTTCCTCATCTACTTTACAACAACAGATGTCCTGTTTTTTCTATTCACAACAATAGAGAAAAAATCGGGACTTTTGCCTCATCTACTTTACAACAATAGATGTCCTGTTTTTTTTCTATTCACAACAATATAGGAAAAATCAGGACTTTTGTCTCACCTACTTTACAACAATAGATGTCCTGTTTTTTCTATTCACAACAATAGAGAAAAAATCAGGACTTTTGCCTCATCTACTTTACAACAATAGAGGTCCTGTTTTTTTTCCTATTCACAACAATATAGGAAAAATCAGGACTTTTGCCTCATCTACTTTACAACAATAGAGGTCCTGTTTGTTTTTTCTATTCACAACAAAATAGGAAAAATCGGGACTTTTGACCCACCGGTAAAACTGTGTATTAACACAATATTTCTATAGTGACATTTCCTATGTATGTTTAATTTAGACAAATGTGATTTGGTATGGAGTTTTTCTGGTTAAGGAAACGGTTGATGACTGCACAGACGCATTAAGAATTCAGGAATGTGACATCCTGTTCTGAACTTCAGTTAACAAGTGTTGTGGTCTGAAGAGTCCACATCCAAGCCAGCATTTTCAAGTTTACTTTTATTATGTAGAATCAGATATTAAGCTCACCTCATCCTCCTCTTAAGGCCTCAGTACCACTGGTATAATGAGTATAACTGAACAGTTATATTCAGTCAAGGCATTTATTATAAACTTGAATAATTATTTTTGCCTGCTGTACGAGATACTGGCCCTGAATAAAAAAATTCACCATAGGATTGGGAATTAAGTTACAGTTAAAATTATATCTCGATTTTATTAACTAGCGCATGGAAGTGTTTTGCCGACACGAACAATCGCCTTGTTACCACTAACAGTTACCTTAGTTCGTAATATTTCAACCTTGCAGTCGGATACATGAGTGTACATGAGCTACTTTACCTAAATAACAATAATAATAATTCATAAACAGAAGACGAGCCCGGCATGGCCAGGTGGTTAGGGCACTCGACTCGCAATTTGGGGGTCGCGCGTTCGAATCCCCGTCCCATCAAACATGCTCGCCCCTTTTAGCCGTGGGGGCGTTATAGTGTGACGGTCAATCCCACTATTCGTTGGTAAAATAGTAGCCCAAGAGTTGGTGATGACTAGCTGCCTTCCCTCTAGTCTTACATTGTCTAAATTAGGGACGGCTAGTGCAGATAGCCCTCGTGTAGCTTTGCGCGAAAAAAAAAACAAAAAAAACAGAAGACGAATACAGAAAAGTCGCAAAATTCACTCAACATCTCGGAGAAGTTCGACAGCAGTTCCCTCCTGACCGCCTTTGGTTATTTCCGCTCTGCCATTCACTAAGAAATTCAAGACCTTACATCCTATTCAGGGCGCAGCATTGAAAAGAGGCGTAGGAAATTATGTATTCATTGAAAAATGAATATATGTATATATATGGTTTCCTTTTTTAAATTACATACTGTTTTCTTTGTGCAGCCTCATTAACAATTCAGAAAGAAACTGGGGAATTCTTCCTTCACATTCTATTATTCATTACTTTTCCGGATGTATGCCCTACGTTTTCACGCGCAGTTCACTGTGCCGTCCCAAGCACATTGATATACCGGTGTTGGTGACGTCAGTCTTGTCTGGGAAAAAAACAACAAAAAAAAACGGCCGGTCTGTCGATTAAGACGTCCCGGAACGAACCGTTCCAGTTGGAGTCGGTTAACCTACTAAAGCTGTGTTACTGAAACAACTAATAAAGATTTTATCTTTCATTGTGCCAGAACACAGACACCTGCAAGTCATTTCCATAAAATTAGTTTTAGTTTATTTGCAATTTAAAAAAAAATTAAAATTTGAAGGCGGCTTTAATGGGTATTGAAAGTTTGTTTGAATTTATGCACAAAGCTACACAATGGGCTATCTGTGATCTGCCCACCACGGTATCGAAACCTGGTTTCTAGCGTTGTAAGTCCGCAAACATACCGCTGTGCCACTGGGGGGGCGGCGGTATTGAAAGTCTTTATTAGAAATGTACATTTCCTGATGATGACGTAAGCTTGTCGAAACGTTGTATATTTGTAATAGTTTCGTTCACTACCCACCCATTCAAGCCATCTCCAAACTTTATTTTCTAAAAAAAAAAGTGAGTTCCTTGTAATCAAATTGCTTCGTAATTTATACCATTTAAAGAAGGGTTTAAGTTATTGTACAAATAACGTTATTTTCGGGGCATTTATAGTCAGATAGATAATTTGTAAATGATAAATCTGTCATGCTGTTTTGTCTGATCTGAGATGCAAGTTTTAAAGTTGATGGTTACCAATGCATCAGATTGTTTCCCCCTTTTTTGAAGACAAAAATTATAGTCAGATTTCACTGTGTATAACAAATAAAGGTTTCATGTTATGTCCGCAGATCATGATGCAGGTGGTCGAAAGGAATAAACATATGTACATAACAAATAAAGGTTTCATGTTATGTTTGCAGATCATGACGCAGTTGGTCGAAAGGGATAAACATACGTACATAACAAATAAAGGTTTCATGTTATGTCCGCAGATCTTGATCCAGTTGGTCGAAAGGAATAAACATACGTACATAACAAATAAAGGTTTCATGTTATGATTGCAGATCATGACGCAGTTGGTCGAAAGGGATAAACATGAGTACATAACAAATAAAGGTTTCATGTTATGTCCCCAGATCATGATCCAGTTGGTCGAAAGGAATAAACATACGTACATAGCAAGTAAAGGTTTCATGTTATGTCCGCAGATCATGATGCAGGTGGTCGAAAGGAATAAACATACGTACATAACAAATAAAGGTTTCATGTTATGTCCGTAAATCATGATGCAGTTGGTCGAAAGGGATAAACATACATACATAACAAATAAAGGTTTCATGTTATGTCCGCAGATCATGATCCAGTTGGTCGAAAGGAATAAACATACGTACGTATACTAATTCTATTCGTATACTAACCCTTATTCTGTTGTGTCAAATCAAAATGATAAAAAATTACACTACACCAACTTAACCCAGTAACGGTCGTTATCAAGCGACTTGCTGATATAAATACTATACCTAACGTATCCCGTCCGATCAAGAGAGCACTGTGGTATTGTACGAAAAGCCTCGTCGACACCGAATATAGCAGGTTTGGTGTGGTTGACATATTATACACTCGAGACTCTGGAGTTATTAATAAGTCTAGACACATCACGAGATGAGAGCCGCTGGTGTTAGCATCATTAAATTTAAACCTATGTATACCTACTCACACACTACCAGTACTCGAAAATAAAATTCTGCGGGCGTCCGGAAACGCGGTATTTCTGCTGTCATGTTTGGCGCTCCCGACCTTCGCGTGCCTTTTTGCACTAGGGTAGGTCACAAAAGTTCAAAGACCTTATTTGTATCGCCCCTGCGGTACTTATTCGTCATGGGTAAAATTCACCTATTGTATCATGTTTATTGTTTTGAACGACTCTTTCAATACACATAACGTGACCTTAAGATTATACGTATCTACATTAAAGGTATACACTGATGTCTTGGTTTTAAACGAATATTCACTATTACATTGTATAGTAAAGCTACATAATTATTATTTTTTGCTTTGTGTAAATAACTTGTGACTCATCTGCTTTCAAAATAAACATTTTAAGAACACCAAAATACAAACCATTTCAGACTAGCAGAAATACATTTTAAAGTAACATTCAAAGCGGTGACTTTTCTCATAAGTTTTACGTCGCAGCAATGAAAAATATGCTATTATTACGTCACTTCCGGTTACCCGAAAATCGCCCAGAAATTTATATCTCCTAAACACATCATTATTTCATGAAATTTAAATATTGCATCCAACGAAGAAGTGTGTTCTAAAAACTAAGAGACTTCAAACGAAGCCCACGTACCCGTGTACGATGGCCGGGTAAGGCCAAGTGGTTAGCGTGCCCAGACCGTGAATCCGTTCCCGTAAAATAGCCGCTCCCCAAACCTTGGAGCCGTAAGTGCACCATGAAAGTGACAGTTAAAGCGCATTATTCGTTCGGACGATAGACAAAAGTAGCCCAAGGGTTAGCGGGGGTATCTTTATCTAGCTGCCTTTCTTCTAATCAAAGAGTAGCCCAAGGGTTAGCGAGGGTATCTTTATCTAGCTGCCTTTCTTCTAATCAAAGAGTAGCCCAAGGGTTAGCGGTGGGTATCTTTATCTAGCTGCCTTTCTTCTAATCCAAGAGTAGCCCAAGGGTTATCGAGTGTATCTTTCACTAGCTGCCTTTCTTCTAATCCAGCATTTCTCAACCTTTCTGATACCAGGGACAGGCTCACTGCTTCTCTTAACTGTTTCAGTCAACGCACCAATATACAGACACCACCAAACAGGCAC